CCCCAAAACCCCAAAACCCCAAAACCCCATGTGGAAAAATATAATATTAGACCAGAGAATAGTTAATTAATTAAATATGAATATTGAAAAATTCAAAGTAGATTTTACACATCCTGTTAATCTAGATAAATTACACTGCATTGATATTGATCCATAACTTAAAACTTAGGAATATTTGTCAGTGATTGAACTGAAGAAAAAAATAGATAGTCTAAAAATTAGTAATAAGTCCTTGCTTACTTAAATTCAATTAGAAGATGTAGAAAAATGCTTGGCAAATTTCAAAAATAAATTTGGAAAGTATTTAACTTAAGAACTTATCCTCAGCTATCAGTATGAGTTTGATTGCTAATAAAATCAGCAAGCATGGAGTTGTCTTTAATAAACTTAAGATGGGTACATGATGGATTTAACTAATCTTGAATTAATCACTGACTGCTATATTTTTGCCATCTAATTTAATAGTAACTAGATTGAAACAGACATTTACTACACATTTCTAAGTTTGATGGAGTTAATAAACCATAGATCTCAAGATTACTCTGATACACATTTCATTGTATTTCAATATGAGAAAAGATTGATTTTTTGTTTGCATTAAAGAAGCTATCAATAATTCATGATAAGTTAGTTTATAAAGAGAAGAAATTATCGGTACAAAGCCATGAATATAAATCAAGTATAGGTAAATTATACTAACATAATAAAAATAATGTAAAATGAGATACAGCTTATCAAAGATATAGTCAATGAAAGTGATTCAGTTGATTAACTGGCAATTCAATCATAAACAAGCTAAGATTAAGCATAGCTAATAAAACTTGATTAATAATTGCAAAATCTCTTAAATACAAAGACTAATTAAGAATTCTTCCCAGCATTATCTGAGATGCAAATGTTAGGTGGCTCATATAGTAAATTATCGTTTAAACGGAAAATTTTAAAATCAAGCATTTTAAATGAACTTCAAAACAGCTCTGATTAGATCCTAGTTTTTAACATAATCTACAATTTACTAAATCCTGATGAAATTTACTCAACTAATAGGGTATATATTCACATGATAGAGGCTGAAAGAGATCAAAGTAAAATTGATAGTCAAGAAACTGATGTACTTATATACTTGATTTTTAAGAAGGAGTCTAAAAATTGCCCAACGCTTAATTAGTCGTAAAAAATTAAGCATCAATTATTTGTAACTTAAAAAGAAATAGAATCAAGATACACTTATAGCAAACAGAAAATAGAAGAAGCTAAATTACTTCAAAACTTGACAGGTGCAGTAGGTGAGATTTTCAAAAGAAGGTTAGAATTTAAACTTGCTGAAAGCTAGATTCAATCAGAGATTAATCAAGTTGATTTTTAGCTAAGCGAGGTTATTACTAAAGAGTAAGTATTAGTAAGGCAGTGTCTTGAGAATTATGAGGAGTATTTGAAAGTAGTAGGAGAGCAAGAGTATTTTAGCAATAACATGTCAAACCTAGATATATCGTAGCTTGATGAAAGTAATCCTGTTTATGAGTTTTAGAAAGATCGCAATATAATTAAACTCGATGCAGCTCTCAAAAATCTGATTAATTTCTTAAGATCTTCGCCCCCAAAGCTTTTGGATGATTAGACTAGGACAAGTTTATATTACCTTGAGGACAGAAGAATGATTAAATTTGCTAATAAGCTATCTGTGTAATCATAACAGGAAAGAAGCTTTTGATATTGATATTGATATTTTTAATTTTAGAACTAATATTTTTGGAGAAAAATTAAATGCCTTGGGGTTTTGGGGTTTTGGGG